GCTAAGTCCAACTCACCACACCATGGGTTGGAAGATCCAACACAGGAGAGATTATTAAACTCCCAACTTTGGAAGGGGGTCTTCAGGCATGTGATCACACCAGTGCATGTATGCCACTGCCCTGGGCCTTTAGAGATCCCTGCAGCTGATTGTGCCTTGTTGCACTGACTATCTGGAAAGGGACCACTAGCAGCTGTTTTATATTGCCTTTGGCCCCCTTTTTCTTATTCCAAAAGACCTCTTCCAAATATAAATAGTGAAAGAGTTGGCAGCATGCGGCCTGTGTTTAACCCTAACCTGTAGACCATTTAGTGACTTGGAATTTCCTTGTATCCATCCCTTGACTGGTGCTTTTCAATCATCTTTTTAAAAGTGTCACTTGGAGTGTTCGTTTGTCTTCATTGTGTAGGTTATAACATTATATTGACTTACCACGGTGGGACCTTCCAAATACACATGTATTTATACTCTAATAGTTTTTGAAACCTCAATGTTCTGCACAATGTTTCTTACTTAATTATGTGACTTTGGAAAATAATTTAGGTGTGTCATTTTAAAGTGTTGTATCCTTATGCAATCCATTATTTTGTGAATTACTTACTGTAGCAAATAAAAGTCACTTTGCAGAAATCTGCTTTTACTTGAGTCAATTCTTTTGGTGTTAAAAACTAAATCGAATCCACTGTAATTCAATGTTTTGTGACAATAAAACATTAAGGGCTTGTTCACACCAAGCGCGGAGCAGATCCGGACCAGAGCAGGTGCAGACCGGATCAAAACTGCGTCCAATGTATTCCTATGGTATTTTGACCTCCAGTTCACATCGCAGCGTGCGGATCCAGACCAGATCCAGACCGGATGAAAAAAATGCGGCAAGCCCTATTTTACCTGCTCTGGATCTGGTCTGGAACGCATCAAAAACGCATCTAAAACGCAAAAACGCATCAAAAACGCATGCAAGTGCCTGAAAGTCCATGTTAAACTTTAAAAAAAATATATATATTTTTTTTACCAAAACCGGCCCTAAACGCATCAAAACGCATCTAAAACACGTCTAAAACACGTCTAAAACACGGCACAACCCACTACACTGCGTGTGCAGAAACCTGACCGGATCTGGTCTGCATTTGGTGTGAACAAGGCCTAACATTTTCATGGGGGTAAATACTTGTTATAGGACCTCTAATTATTTCAGTAAGCAAGACAAGAAATGCGTAACTTAGGATTTAAAAAACTACAACATTTGCAAATTAATTTCAGACACAATTTTCAGACACAAGTTTTGTTACATATAGCTAGGCCATAGCCAGTTTGAACATTTGTTTTAATGTTCTGCATGCTAGAATAGCATTTGTGTTCTGTGTGTTGGAATTATCCATTATTTATGTACAACTTCATGATAGTTACCAAGTGCTGCAATAAAATGCTTTAATATACACTTTCTATACTGAGTTTAATCAGTTGCCTGATATAGTTAGCTCTAGAAATAATTGGACTCTGACACAAGTTTTATTATTTTGGCTGTTAAGCAAAATAAAAACCCCTTCACAACATCCAGCCAAGTGAAGAACACTCTCCAGGACCACCATAAAGAGAAGACTCACAAGAGCATATACAGATGGTTCACTACAACGTGAAAATCATTCATAAACCGAACCAAATAGAAAGGCCAGATTATAATTTGCCAAAAAATATCTAAAAAAGCCAGCCCAGTTCTGGAACAGCATTCTTTGGACAAATGAAACTAAGATCAACCTGTACCAGAATGATGGGAAGAAAAAAGTATGGAGAAGATTTGGAAGCTCTCCACATCATCTGTAAAACACAGTGGGGGCAGTGTAATGGCAGGGGCATGCATGGCTTCTAAGGGCACAAGTGTTTATTAATGATCTGACAGAAGCAGGTGGATGAATTCTGAAGTGTATAGGGATATATTGTCTGCTCACATTCAGCCAAATTCAGCAAAGCTGATTGAATGGCGCTTCACTTTACAGATAGACCATG